TCATTATGTTTCAGAACCACTTCCTTGGAAGAGTCATTGCCCGAGACCACCGTATCATCCTTTGCCCCTTTTGCTCTTTCGTCAGACCCCTGATTCTCCCATTCCTGCGAATTTCTGCCCGAATATGAGCCTTTCCCTACTAGCCCTTTGTTTTTTCTTGTTGGGCTAATCTTCACCTCACTTTCTGCCCTTAGCTACACATCAAACCGTTTTTCCAAAATTAACCCTTCCTCATACACAAGCGGGCAAAATTTCTCAGAGTGACCAATAATGCCACAGATAAAACAAAAATTAGGCAACTTTTCATATTGAAAATCCACCCAATATCCAATACCCTCCTTTTTCCGAGTTGTTCCTTTTTTCAAAGGATTCTCCATATTAATGCACACCCTAACATGGAGGTAGGACTTCCATTGTTCCCCGTATTGATTCTTATCAGTCATAAAATGAACCTACCTAAAAAATTACCCACCCTTTTGATAGTGCCTAAATTCAATAAGCAGTAAGGAACACTGTGAACTCGCACCCAAAATTTTGCCTCATTCAAGCAAATCTTATGCGGAATATCAGTTGGTTTAATTTCTTTCACAATCAGTAAATTCCTCTCAAACTACCATGGACCCCCATTAAGCACACGTTTCATATCATCAGGATGATTAAAATTGAAAATATACCTCTTATCCTCGATTTCCTTGATCTCCACACCCCTCCCCGGTCTCCATAGAGAAGCCATCATCTCCTTGAAAACTGAGAAATTGATCTTTCAGTCCATTATCACCACGCCCACCACGGGGAAGACTGACCGAGCATCCTCCCTGGAAATCTCTACGGTGTCCGGTTCATCGTAGTCCAGCTCCACACCCTCTTCCTCAACACTCATGCAGGGATGGATTTAGGGGGGGGGGCGCGCGGGGGCGACCGCCCCCCTTGGACTTTTAAAATTTTCTACCATATATGTAATATTTTCATAAAACTTTCATAATTTAATTAGATTCGCCCCCCTTATCTTTTAATTTTCAAAATTAATATATAGTGTTACATAATGTAATACTTAATTGAAGATTTAAAAAAAGGAACATCTAAAATAATTACATAACTTAAACAAATAAACAATAGAATAACGCGTTGTTTAAGATTTAGTATACTTATTATATAAGAATTCCTAGTTTTGTAGTGTTTAATTATCTTTATTAGATAACAAGTACTTGATTTTGTAAAATATACTCCGTATATTATACAATTTTTAGATCACGTGAAATGAATCCAAAATATAAATGTTTATTGACATTAAATTACATAATTCATTTACTTCTTGCTTTCTAAAATTAATTTATTGCATAGATAATAAACTTTAAATTATTATAGCATTAATACAAATATTAAAATATATTATGCACCATATATGTGTGTGTGTATGTGGTGCATATTATTCTAAAAATAATAATATCATACATACTACTATTGTAATATTAAGAAAACTCTCATGAGTCATGACTCACGAACACCCTCTTTGGTGGCCGGACAAAAATTACAATTCAATAATAACTGATTCATGAGATTAAACAATGTAGAAGTTATTAAAGATGTCTTGGTTGATGTCTTTGTCATCGTCTAATTTAAACTTAGAATGTACTACTTAATAGATTTAAATGTCATTGGGATGTGTATGTATTAATGTCATTTTTTGAATAAAATTAGCCGCATAGCCCTACAGTAGCGGAAAAAATTCGCCCCGCTACACTAGGGAAAAAATTTCGCCCCACTACACTAACGAAATTTTTTTCACCCCCTACACTACCGAAAAATTTCGCCCCCCTTGAATAGAAATCCTGGATCCGTCCCTGCACTCATGCATCTTGCGATACAGGTCGGCAATCTTTTCCATGCACCAAAACCTCCGGCGCCGACTCGATTCGTCCTCGAAGAAACCCGGCGAAACTCGGCGTAATCGGACTGAAGCCGAACAATGACCGAGAACCAACAACACCCAAACTCGCGATAAACCTCCAATCCGAAGCCAGCATAGCGGACGACGACAATCGTTCCTCGTCGGAAAAAGTGGGGTTTTTAGTGTAGTAAATGAAGTGGTCTTTTCTATGATACTAAATAATAAACGAAGTGGTTGAAAAAAAAACTAGAATACTAGATGAAGTGATTATCGAGCAAGGGAATTTACCCAACTTAGGATGTTTTTACTTGTACTGTAATTCGTCCTAGACCAGACTTGGATAATTATAAAAATATAAATAAACCAGACCAGATCAGATCGGACCACACCAGACCAGCAAATTACAGTCCAAGTAAAAACATCCTTAATTAATTGGCGGTATAGTTATAGTACGTATATACATAATTATAGGCACAATTGTTAGTGATAAGTTCACAATCATATATATATTCCTAAAAAATGACAAGAAAAATGATATATATATATATATATATATATATATATATATATATATATATTAACATGAGATATAAATAGAGAGAACAATACAAACTTAGAGAAATAATTAATTGGCTTTTGTGTACAACATTGAATTAGTAATAATATGAGCATTTGTTGACAGAAATGTTTTTGCTATGCTTTTGTTTAAAATACAAAATGCATATATGTAAATGAATATTGTATCAAATTTAGGGAGTGTTTGCGATTGCTTGTACTTTTTAAAAGTGATTTTTTTAATAGATTATTGGAAAAGTGATTTATAGTAAAAGTTGGTAGTGTTTGGGAATAGAAGTGATTTTAATAAAGATGTTAAAGTTATAGTGTTTGGTAAAAAAGTGATTTTTTATGTAGAGTTTTGTCAAAGCACAAAAATACCATAGGCAATGTTTTGATAGCAATCTGCAAAAATCAAAGTGGGCATGTGACCAGTGCCGATCCTCCGTAAACTTGGGCCTGAGTACAACTTCATAAAAGGGCCCTATACATAGTATTTGTTTTGAAATACAACATATTTGAAAATAGAGGATTTATATCGCAAAAACTCAATACTCGAATAAATTCTTACATTATTATAACATAAACAAAAAATCAGAATTTTGATTAATTTTCGATTGAAAATTACACACTTTTTTATCATTATAATCTTAAATAAAAAATATCTCAATTCTCAAATATAAAAATTTCACTTGCAAGGCACGGCCCTACTTCTCTACGTAAAATTAACAAGTAAGAATCAACTAGCTTTTAATATCTAAATAGCATTTTTTATGCAGATACTTCATATTGCAACCAACAATATAAGAATTAGTCAATAGTTATAACAAATAGAGAATAGAAATTAATAATTTAATTAGTTCATTCGGTCATTATTCACAAATTATTAACTCATCAAATTAGCAAATCATTCTAAAAGCTAGATTTTTGGAAATAATGACATATCGGCAAATTTGGGAGTTCGGGTTTGTACTTCACTACTTGGTTGATAACTGATCTATTGTTCCGAGTGTTTTGTTACTTCTGTAGCGAACGATTTAAGCTTAACAATCAGTATAACTCCTGTTTTTTAATACATACATAAATATAATATAAAGGCATTTAAATTTTGGGCCCCTAATTTTTTAATTTTTTTGGGGCCCTGAGGCCCAAGCCTCACAGGCCTAGGGGAAGGACCGACTCTGGGCATGTCCAAAGTTTATTACGATGCTTGGTCTTTTGAAGAACCCCTCAAACAATTTCACCCAATTGTCACTCTGTTCAAAGAACCCCTCAAATGATTTCAAAGAATTTGCGCCTACCAATTGTCTGTCTGCTCAAGTTGCTAGAACCTGTTCTTAGGCGCTGAGGAATTTGCAATTACAACACCTGAGCATTAGGCAAAGTGCAGAGGCGAAAAATATATCGATACCTTATTTTATATATGGTGCTGATCGAAAATGAATCTTACATAAAATCATGTACTACTCCGGAATTTGCACATCTCCTTTGGCTTTTAGCAAACAAAATGCAAATCAACTACACCAAGCAACCAAGGTTGTCATAACGGAGGAAGCCGACGCGGCCACGACGTAGGAAGAGTTACCTGAGGCGGTATGTTACTATGTTAGTATCAGCGATATACTTGTACGTAGTATGTCTGTGTGTACACATGAAGATGGCCTGAAGCTTTCAGAATGGTAAAGGAAAGAGAAACGGAGGTTGTCTGCGAAAATGGATGAAGGAGACTTTAGCTTAATCCTTACTCCATTATAACCATCCTCAATGTTGTTACTACCCCCGTCCCAAAATGATGGTCCCACATTTCTTTTTTGGGATGTCCCAAAATGATGGTCCTGTTTCCCTTTTTGGAAAGAAATATGTGGTCTTCATCATTTCACCTTTTCTACTCAAATCTCAACGACAATTTTTACCTTTTCAACAATTTTATTAAAATTTGTGCTCAAAAGAAATGAGACCATCAAATTGGGACGGAGGGAGTATTATTTACAAAAATACCAAGAAGCAGTTAGAACCACCCATATACCAACTCCAGCTTTTAGGTTGTAAGTGCTTAATTTAAGTAGAAGTTGGTGTTTGAAAACACCAAATTTAACTTTTTAAGCTAAAAGTTGAAAAGCACTTTTTTTAATCAATAGCAAACACTCTCTTAAACTGAGCAAAAGCAAAAATTAAAAAAAAAACCGTACGTAAAATTATATACGAGTTAATAATATAATTCATGATCAAAATTAAGGTTTATAAAAATGTGACTAGTGACTATACTAGTAACTCAATCATAATAACCTATATTTAATTTTTGAATTGAAATGATTATGAAACTATGGGGGTGTTTGGAACTGATTCTGCTTCTGCTTCTTTTTTTAAAGCAGAAACAGAATCAGAATCAGTTTTCAGAAGCTGGTACACACTAACTTCTAAATAAAGTGATTTTGGGAGTAAATTAGAGCACCAGAAGTGTTTCTGGAATTTCACCCAAACACTCCAGCTTCTGCTTCTGCTCCCTGAAGGAGCAGAATCAGTTTTGAGAATCAGATCCAAACACCCCCTATATTATCATAAGTATTAATTTAGAATAAACTATGAATTCACTTCAATTTATGAGTTTATATCATAACCTAGAATATAGTGAAAGCTAGAATCTAGAGATTCTCCGCAACTCAAATCGCACAACCTGGGATTGACGGAGGTGAAAGAAACTTGTTTACGGTATTTGATTTTCGTCCTCCATTTTTTTCTTCTTCACCTGAAATTCTCAATTATTTCAACTCTTTTTCTTCCCTGCCGTACCCCACAAGAAATCGAAATTCCGAAAACTAACCACCAGAATCCCGCCTTTTGCATCAAACAGGACAACCAAACATTCTGTTTCCCGACTCCTTTTTCGATTTTCGTTTTCATCCTTGTCCTTTGATTGCATTTAATTTTCTCGTTAAAGGAGTTTTCTTTTTGCAGTTTCACCGGGTGCTAAGTTGGGTTCGGACTTTAATCCGGGAGCGAATTTTAAATTTAATTCATTGCTTAATTGATTCCAAAAGGTGGTTAATTATCTTCTCAATCTACGTGGGATGTGAGGAATTTTCGTCGTCGTCTAGGTAAGTTGAGGCGATGGTGGTGGGGCCTAATAAGAGGTGGGGGACCTGGGAGGAGCTAATCCTGGGCGGTGCCGTTCTCCGGCATGGTACAGATGACTGGAACGTCGTCGCTTCGGAACTTAAGGCCCGGACTATCAACCCTAACAGCTTTACCCCCGAGGTTAGCGAAAATCATTTTTTTTGTTTTTACCTCATTAATATTCATAAATTATAATCATTTTTAATGAACACTTTTAATGATTGATTTAATATTACATTTTTATACTCCGTATGATATATTAGGATGGTGGTGGTAGAATGTAATTTATATGGGATATCAACTTGTTTCTTCCAGCTAATTGGAATTTGCATTTGTTTTAGAGATAGCTTGTTAGCTGGGCTGGTATTTAAAAGGCTAGAAAGTGATTCTCATTTCTCAATGTTTGGCGATTCCCTTAGACTAGGGATGTTTTGTCCAATTCTTAGATAACAAGAAAAAAATGCTTTGAAAGTTTGGTTGAATTCTTTTTTCCCGGGAATTAATTGCTTCCCATAGAGATTAATGGAAAAGAAAGTTGGAAAAGAAAGTAGCAAATGTTATCTTATTTGGAGGAGCCTTTTCCTCTCTAGAATTCTTTTACTTTACTTGCAAGATTGTTGCTTAAGTTGATTCAAAGTTATTTACCTTCATCAACACTTAACGGGGAAACTATAAAAAGAATGTTTTTTTAGCAGGATAATGATCATATAAAAGGGACAAGCTTTGTTTCTCATTATTTGGATTTCAAATTCATTTTTCATTGGAACTTTTACCATTATAGGCTTGCAAGGCAAGATACGAGAGGTTGCGGAAGCGGTATACTGGATGCAGGTGAATATTGACATAGACTTCATTAAGTTTAGCTAAAGTGTCAATGTTGATTTATATGCTCCAGGAAGTAAAACTAATCAATCTATTTGGTTAAAAAGCATTAATGTTAGGTTAATTAATTTTCTTCCCTTTTTTGCTGTCTCTCAGTTTTTGGTTTGAAGAGCTAAGAAAGAGACGAATTGAGGAATTGAAACGGGAATTGAAGAGATCTGAAGGCTCCATTGGGTTAGTAGTAATCGTCTTTTTATATTGAGGTTAAAGCTCTATTAAAACATTGTTTAACCAATATTTCAAGGGTCACTGCTGCTACAATTTAACCTTAAGACAAAATTGAACCTGGTAATAGTTATGGATCATGAGTGCGTTTGGGATTACTTATTTCCAATGAGAAAGTGTTTTGTAGATGAAGAATTTGAACTACATTCACAGTTTGATTTAAAAAAGAAGTGTCACTTCTAATGCTCATTTAGAAAGGAGCAGATAGTTTTTTTAGAAAAGTGCTTTAAATGCCTGAATGAGAAAGGACTCGTGATAAAGGCATGTGTACCTTATAGTGAACAAGCTCTACCGTTTTCCTCCCCTTTTAAACTGCTTTACAAACAATTTTGGGAAAAAAATCACTTATAATGCACTTGTGATGGTTTTAGACTTAAAGAATGAGCATGTACCTTTTTTCTCCTCAAATGGTTCTGACACTCGATTAGCTAAGTTTTTTCCTGGGGTCTGTTGGTACTCTCTGAAAAGCTACCTGCAAACTGAACCTAAAAGTATGTTGCTACAAGCTAAATTTACGAAGCAGGATTAGTTATTTATTTGGATTTTGGAATAAGCGATAAACTCTACGAGACACATGATAATCTTTATATAACAAAAACCGATGAAATTGTCCTTATCCTGTTCAACATGATGACTATTTTGGCATTGTAGTTTACCTTAACCTGTATTTTCTTGTTCCCCATATCAGATCTCTCAAGACAAAAATAAAATCTCTAAAGGCTGAGAGAGACCTTTCCAGCCAAACAGGATTACCCGTTCCCGTGGTAAAATTAGAGGGCATTCAATTATCCGCTGGCAGCTTCACCAAAACTTTACAACCCAACGAGTCACACAGATGTCAAGTTCAAGCTTTAACATCGACTACCGAGACTGAGTCAAATAGTAAGAACGGAGGGGGGATGATAAGGAAGAGAAGGGGTAAGAGAAAGAGAAAGGACGTGGTATGGGATTCAAAAGAAGGGAGCATTGGAGAGAGTGGGAACATGTGCTCTACGAGTGGTGTTTCTTTTTCTCACAGCAAGGAAGCATTCAATGATGGATGTGGTGATGATGAGACTAGAAGAGGAGTTTCTGGTCGCACAAAAAATGGTGGGTTGATGGATATCTTCAATTCCATTGCACAGAGAGAACCTGCATTGGTCTTTATGCATCGTCTTGATAGTCAGGTATTATTATGACTTGCCAATGTTTTTATATTCTTTTGACTCGTACTTTAGAGCCTTTCTATGGAGATGATGGGTTATATGTGGCTTTCACATGGCCCACATCCAACTTTATATGGTCATCAATTGGGCACTTCTTTATATTGAGCCGTTTTATAGTTATGAAAAACGTAATTTAGTTCACATAAGCTTTTAGTATATAGTTATGATTAACTTATTTGACACGTCCTTTTCCTGTTTTACTTAATATAGTTAAGATTAATTTATTTCACATAACACTAAAACAGTTATGATGAACTTGTTTGAAGAAGATTTTTTTTATTTTTATGAGTTTCAACACTATTAGGTCATTCACACTTTTGGTTTGCAACTTTCACTGTGTTCATTTTCGATCACTTGACTTCAATTATTTTCCATTTTTGCTCCCTTGTTTATTTTTTTTCCCATTTTGGGGCACCATTTTAATTTTCTTTCGGCTTCTGGCCCTTTTAATCACTCATCCAGTGAAAACCAACTAAAAATTGACTGGATGGGTGATTGGATGTGGGAATGAACCTATAGTCGTGGTCTCGTGGAACCACAGTTAAAAAGTTCCTTGATTTGACTACGTTACTTAAATCCCATCCCATAGCTATGAAATTTGTGAACTCACCATTATACTCTTATCATTCCATATATAAAATGGGCCATATCAGAAGAGAGCAAGATACAAGAAAACAATCAAACGCCATATGGATATGGAAACTATAAGATCAAGAATTGTAACCCTTTCCATCAGGTCCCCCCTAGAACTCTTCAGAGATTTGCTTTTACTAGCAAACAACGCTGTAATATTCTACTCAAAGAGAACGCGGGAACACAAAGTGGCACGTGCCCTTAGGGATCTTATCACAAAAACATATCATCACATGCAGGCTCACAACAAAGACATAACAACCTCTGTTGTGCCAACGGTACGCAGTTGTGCCGTGAAACCGCGTAGTGCCAGGCCCCGCCCTAGCAAGCACAGGAGCCCAGCCATTGTGTTGGAAACTAACACAAATGCTGCTTTACTCAAAGAGAACGTGGGAAAGGAAGGGGGGCTAATTAAGCAAACACCTGGGAAGGCAAAACGTGTATTGTTGGTGAACGATAATCATGTTTCGCGCCATAGAGAATTGGGAAAAGAAGGCTCATCATCATCACTACATAAAACCGTGCCAAAGGAAGAGGTAGTTGTAGTTGGATCTAATATGAAGCCTGTAGTGAAGAAAAGGAAAGTTTTTCCAAGCAAAGGTTGAGTTGAACTAATTCCTGCCAATGTAATTACTGGGTTATTAGTCCAACTATTCAATCATGTCCTTTTGTTCTTCCTTTAGCTCATCACCCGGCCCCCCTCATTTATTTACTTAATTATGTTTTAATGGGAAATGCCTTTTATTAAAATCCTAAAAACAAGCACTGTTACAACCAAAACACTCTCTACATACAAAAGATACTAGTCGTAGTGATCACCCCGAATGAGCAACTCAAGTCGTTGAACATAGCACATGTTGGACTTGTGTTTGACCTTATTGGTCCTCATACATTTTTATGACAAACAAACTTGATGTTCTCACAAGAAAAATGAAAGAAATGAGAAGTATAGACAAGAACTGCCTGGAGTAGTTTATTAGTCTCCCCAAAAGGATGCCTTTGCTCCATTCAAAAATCGCCAAAATGCTTCCAAACATGGAGACAAATTTATTACTTCGTATTTATTATTTGAATCACTTTCACTGGTTGAATCTATCATAGCTAAGGGTGGTCACAGTTTTGGAACCGGACTGGCTGACTTTTTACTTGAATCTGGACTCGTGATTGGATCATCTCGATTGAAAACTGGACCGGACTGGCAGTAAGTCCCAGTAGCCATCACTAGTTCCCAAAATATGGGATTGGAATGGCTCAGTTCAGGTTAATTTTATTTGAATTATATACATATATTTATCACAGAAAACTTTTTATTAATAAATTCATATATTATTACATTTAATTTATTATCATACATAATAGAAAATATAATATGAAATGAAAATTACCCTTTAACGTCAGACTAGAGGTGTCTCTGCCGCCCCCATACTCTTTCAAAGTGCCTATATGGGCATATGGCTATATGTACTCGGAAAACTATGATGAATGCAACTATGCAAGTGATGAATCGCATTTATCTTCACACAAATGAATAACACATAGAACACTGAACACTACTACACTAGTATTTGTAGTAGTATAATTGACACGGACATTCAGGTTAACCGGAAAGGCCTGGTTCCGGCACAACTCGGGTGCGCCCACCCTCCCGAAACCATGGGTCGGCCAGTCAAGGATCCGCAACCGACCCGAAACCAGACCAATCAATCCCTAGCTAGAACCATATGTCGAAAGCATCCCAATGGATCTTTGAGAATCTCCAAAGCCTAGACAATCGTTGAGGGCGGGGGGCTCGGGGGGGGGGGGGGATTTTGAAAAGAACATTGAATTTCAATTCGTAATAAGTTTGACTGAAGTAATTTGTCTGTATTGAAATATTTGCTACTATAGATTTAGACACAAAGTTTAAAAGAAAAGTAGGAGTAATGTATAGTGTAGAAAAGTAGGATAATTGGATAAATGGTGGGAAAATATGAATGACAAGATAAAAAAAAAAAATTGGGTACATCCCAAAAAGGAAAACTTACCAAAAAGAGAAAATGTAGCAAAAATTAAAATACATCCCAAAAATGAAATCATAGCAAACATTTCAATACAGAAGGAATAAAAATTTAGAAATTGACTAATGCACTATTAAAATTTAAAACCATCTCATTCCAGATCAAGCAGACTGTCTCAAAAAGTCTTCCCCAAGTAGACTCCGGGAAAGTTAAATAAACAGGTGGAAATGATCGGTGTAAAGTTGTTATATAAAATATTACTACGTACCACATATATTTGGTTATAATATACTCCGTATTAAAGAGGCAGAAGTAATCCGTAGTTGTAAGGATGTTTTTACTTGGACTATTTTCAATCTCAGACCAGACCAGTTCAAAACAGATCAGACAAATTCAGATCAGACTTTCATAGTTACAGAATACACATAGACTGGACATTTATCAAACCAGTTCAGACCAGACTAGACCAGACCTAGGATTGGACCGGGCCTGAGTCCGGACCGGGTCCGGGGAGGGCTTTGGGCGGGACTGGGTTTAGGAACTAGAGGCCCGGTACCGGCCCGGACCCGAGCTGGGTCTTATATATGTATTTTTAAATTTTGTTTTTTCTTATTTATTCCTACCCCCACCCCAAACCCCCCAAACCACCCAGCCCCACAGCCTAGCACCCAATCCATTCGAAAAAAAACATTTTGGGCCCGGATCAGTCCCGGAGACCCGGACCGGCCGGGCCGCTCCACCAAATACTGTACCCGTAGCTCGCCCCAAAACCCCCTTGATTTGGGCCCTAGGTCCGGTCCCGGCCGGTCGGTTTGATATGGTACCGCACAGTGGCGGTCCGGGTCGGGTACTGGGCTGGTCTGACCGGGCCCAGTTAATACCATACATGATCAGACTTAAACAGACCAAACTAGACCAACAAATTCAATCCAAGTAAAAACATCCTAACTTGTAAACGTGTAAAATGGTGGAATCACCTACTACTCCACGTGCCACCACACCCAACTCGATAAAATGGTGCAAAAGTAAATCCCGATAAGATATGAAACAGTTTGAGAGTGAGGTGGTTGAAGACCTGGTCAGCCACACTATCTCGTTGCTAGAGATTGAACTATTATCACTCAGTCCCTGTTGAACTTCAATAGTTCTACGTGAATAAACGTGTAACTACTTGCATATATTGGTTTGTTAAAATTTTACTCGATACATTAAAAGTTATAAATTTACCACGATTTACCACCGAGTATAAAATAAAACATAATTTAGGAAATGCGAATCATGTGGAAGTAATATCAAACCAGACATCGCCATGTTGGAATCATTCTTTACCCAACATAAGAGAAGGATTGCAACTTTACAAGCTCAATCCAAATACTGCAAAGTTATTCTTCATCCTAATCACCCATTCATTGCATTATTTGCATATGCCGATATAGCCTGATATGCACGAACTAGGCTGGTCAAAGGATAAAAAGGCACTAAACATAGCGCTTTAGGTCTTGAAAAGTAGATACCACCTCCCTCATTTACTAGCTGCAACAAAATTATCTACTCCACATAAACATAGTACATATTCTACCGGTGGGCGTAGCTCAACTGGTAGCAAGGGAGTGCCACAAGGGTTAGGTCTCGGGTTCGAATCCCGGCAACTGCGATGAGGAGTTACTATGCTGAAAAATGCATAGGGCTTCTGCAAGTACCGGGGACAGAGCCCCACTCTCTATCTGTCAGATTGTGATTATAGTCCAATTTACATCCTCCCATCGTGCCGTCCGGTCGGTGTTGGGGGGCCCTCAGGGGTGGGGTGTCATCTTTTTTTAGTACATATTCTTTATTAATTGTAACCGTAACAGTCCTTTACTAGTTGCAAAACAACCAATACAATATATAATGAGTTAATGACTATTAAAAAGTACACTATATGTTCTACACAAGCTGTAACAGCTTGACTTTATATATTCTAATTTGAATACTACGTATGCTTAACTACGTACGTTTATTAATGGAGTATAAGATTTTGTTCACCCCTCTAAAAGGTAAAACATCACCCTCTCCCCAGTGGCGGATCTAGAAATTAAATCTATTGGGGGCGAATTCAATACTAAAATACATCAAACAAAAAAATATAGAGTAAAGGAAAAATATTCTAATACAAGTAAATATGTTTTTGGAATTTCAAAATATGTTTGTTATATTTTTCTTCATGAAATATGAATCATTATATTACCGCCATGCTTGAGAAATATACTTTCATTAATGGCGTTGTAAATTATTGTCATGTTACTACCTTGTACTACAACTATTTTCGTAAAGAAAAACATAACAATCCCATTTTGAAATTATAATATGTTTACTCTTATTTCATGAACTTCCCCTAAAGTGAAATACATGATGGGAAACCCTTTAATAAAGAAAATTACAATTGTTCTAATTAAGATAGTGTTCTTTTTTTTGAAAGTGATTCATTATAGCTTACTACTTATGTTTTTTTTTATGATTTGCTTACTACTTAATTAACATTTCATCCTAATTTGTAGACTATCATAACTATCGAAATAACATTTTATCTACATTTTGTTGACTCTTTGTTAAATTGAGTTTACATACGGAGTATAATAAATTTTGATTGACTACCCAACAATTTTTTCATCCTAATAACATCTTTTTCAAGCTAGTTTGTACCAAAGATTCTGATTTATACTAGTACTAGCTACTATATAACTGCGTAGCATGTTAATTACTTGATTATATTAGATCAATTAGGATAAATATATAGATTATTGGTATTATTACATAAAAATGCATTTAAAATGCACACGCCGTTTAAAGCAAGTCTGTAACGAGTTTAAAAAACTTAAAACTTTGGCTTAATCCCTTCTTTACTTAGACCTTTGGAGATGTAGAGTAGAAAAAAATGAGCAAAGCTTTGATTAGCACTCTTTGATTCGTCGCTTGAATTATTTGAATATTGGTACTCCAATTGCAATTCAGGTTTGCACGCAAATTCCCGTGTGCTTTCTCCAGCTTTATTTTTGGGATGAGGTTATTGGGGGCAAGCCAATTATTTTGTTGGGGGCAGACGTTTAATTTACTTATTTATATATATTTGTCATCATAAATTATAAAAGGTAAGTGGCTCTTTATTGGGGGCACCTGCCCCCAGTCCTTCCAACGTAAATCCGCCCCTGCCTCTCCCTCTAATGCATGTCATTTGACATTACAATACTTCTATCTTAAAACTATTATAATTTTTTTATTTTTTACTAAAATTTTCAAAGAAATATATATATCAAATTTAATAACTTTTTATAATTTTTCCAATGATATCAATAGCGCATATAATTTTTTTTGTCTTAAATCTATTTTTTGCCGGATTTGTTTTAATTTTACATATCCAGTATTGATATCATATGAAAGATCATAAAAAATTTAAAATATTGATTTTTTTGTTGAAAAAACTAAACCAAAAATGAAAAAGCTATAACAATTATAAAATTGAAATGAATTGCTATGCCATGTGGCAACCAAATAGGGTGGGGGTGATATTCACCTTCTTTAGAGGGGGTGAACAAAATTGTTTTCTTATTAATGTATAAGAAAGACCGGATTGTTTAGAATGTTAATAAAATTTTGGGAAATATCTCTAAATAGGAGAGAAATGTTCTGTGATTTCAAAAGGACTGCTATGTTTTCTTCTCGAAATAGGAGTCATTACCGGCATGATTAAAAAATACTGCCATGTAAATGCCTACAACTATTTTGACAATAATGACTCCAATACGACAAAAGATACTGCTATGTTACTCATATTTCGGGAACAACATAGCAACCCTAAATTAGAATTGCAAAACTTTTTTACTCCTATTTAGAGAATTTTTCCCTAAATTTTTGTCGATGTGGAATTAATATAAAATTATGATATTTTTAAACGGAGTAGTTTTTGCTAAATGTCAATTAAATACATTAATGATCAAAATTGTGTCTTCAGTCTTCACCAACACAAAACTAAACTACTCTACTAATTTACTAAATAAATAAGAATTACTTTATAGAGAAAACTGAACTTCAAAATTATCTTTTGTTTACCCGTTATGCCGTTCAAAATTATTTTGTTTATATGTTAATTCGTGCAAAAAGATTTTTGATATTTTAGCCGTTTGATCTTAAGAATTAGTAGAAAATGACTTATTTTAAAACGTTAACTGAAAACGATAGTATCTGCAATCCCATTTCGGTGGTTTCGTTAAAAAATGCTAGGGCCGAACAACTTTTTACCAATTAATGTTTTCCCATATTGAAAACGTTAAAAAGGGTCAAACCCCTATTTTTTGGCTAAATCGGCAGAATTTGCTGAAATTTTGATTGAATCGATTGAATGTGCTGAATTATATAAAATACCACGTATATTTTATTAATAAAATTAAATAAATTACTTGAAAAATAATTAAAACTATCCACTATTGTGATTTTAGCCAATTTAGTAAAAAGTTAACCTTACTGATTATTATAAAATTTAACGTACAAAATTAAATGATACATGTTTCACAAAACATACTACGAATAACCTAAAACGTTTCCAAATGGGAACGATTTCCACTTTGGTCCTGTGCGGTTTATGATAATTACACATTTAGTTCATATCTGATCTTTTACTTTATCTATTTGTGGTACTTGATGAATATTTTTGAACATTTGTGATTCTTTTCCGCCAATTCTAATCACCAGAAACAACATATATGGACAAAAAACAATAACCATATTCTAAAAGTGGTCAAAGTCATAGACGTGAACCAACTATGGAATTGTTGTGATACTCGTAGAATCAAAAGTGATATTTATTCTTCCAAATTGTAACGCTGAAATTGGCCGATACGAATCAGTCTGCTGAAATTGATGATTTTTTTTATCAAATGACTGAATCTGCTGAATTATGACAAAATTATATTTAAATATAATTTATTGATAAATTAAAAAACAATCATATGGAAAATAGCTAATATTATAACTTAGTCAATCCAATAAAAAATATTTTAATCTTTTTGCAAAATTATACAAATTTGTGTGCAAAATTAAATGTTACTCCTTCCATCTATTTGAAAGGTTTTCACTTTCCTTAGTTGGGTGTCCTATTTAAAAGTTTCCGAAATCCGTATCATTTTACGAAGTAATTTAGTCTCTTTAATTACACTTTTACTCAAAAATCTCTTTCCACTTATTACATGCCAAGTCTCACAATTTCCACACCCTCAATTTATCTCTTTTTAATTACTTTCACTTTATATATTTATTTTTTGTAATTTTTTTCTTTCCTCTTTTTTTTATTACTGAAACTACTTTATTTAATCACTTGTTTAAAAAGTCTTACCACTTTCGTCCCAAAATAGCTAGTCAAATCTGAAAATTTGGACCATGATTTTGATTAGTATATTATTATGAAAATCATAAATTTTATACGTAGTTTTAACGAAGAATACTTTCACATAAAGAGCTCAGTATCTCAGATTTTAATAAACTGTATGTTGATAGTAATTCATAAAAATGGGTATATAGTAAAACAAGATGCACAGAGTATCTGCCGTGTTACCCTAGCGAGAGCTCTCGCGTAGGGTTTGTCCTTCGCCGCCCTGGTGCGGCATTTCTTTCAATCGACGCAGCTCTGCGCCGGATTGCCTCGGTTTTGACGTAGCTCGGGATGGATGATCGTGGCAGCGAGAAGATGGTAGAAGAAGCGGGAGAGAGGCGTAGGGATGATCGAGACATGGTTAGGGTGGAGAGATTGAATGCTCCATTCGATGGCATGGATTTGGGTCATACGGCGGGTACGCTATTGAGAGAGGGTATCATTCGAGCGACGGTCTGACCTTCGCCTGAACCACCACCATGGGTTGTACGAGGCGCTAGAATCCGTGAAAGTTTTCCCAGTAATTTTTTTCTGTTTGTCATTTGATTTCTTGTGTCCATCTTTGTTGTTGATTTTGACAGTTTGTTTGAGTTTTTAGCCTCTCTTTATGTCATTGGGTATGGTTGGATCAATGGGAACGTGTTTGACTGTGTCAAGCCCACTACATGATTAGCGATTCATGTTGCTCTTTTAGGGGTGACCGTCTCTAAGTTTGATCATATGGTTTACAGTCGTAGTTGTTAGAGTTCAGTTGGTGTCAGTTTTATTTTCTCTTTGTTTAATGTAATGATCCTGAATACTTTCATGATAGAAAAAAAGAATACTTTCACATCAATTTTATATTATAAATAATTTCCAAAATATATGTTGTTGGTCAAAGTTTTGAATTCACTAAGTATTTTGGAAAAGAGATAATACTACTCATCATTTGCCAATGAAAACCTTACAACCAGATAAAGAGAGTACCATTTTGGTGAAAAATTGATGGGTGAGATTGTGAGAATTATAAAATTGATGGGTGAGATTGTGAAAATTTTGATTACTAGGTGTCAAGCTTGAACACGGCATTTATTTATATTTCTTCAATAAGTAAGATGTATTCTCGTGATAGTCGCCGTTTAAAATAATGATTACTGAAATTTTAGTTTAATGGATTGGGATTTGGGTATACATACATGGATGGAACTTGGAAGTCTGAACGAATAAGTGAATCCATCGTCATCATCATCCAACTTTAGGTGATATATATCGTGACAGAGACGCTCGCCGGCCAGACGCGGCGCTAATCTCCCCTTGAAACGTGGCGCTTCCGACACCCGTCGGCAACTCTTTCATCTTCCACCCACCTAGACAAGCCCATCCCACCATCCATCCTTATCTCCCTCTCTTTCTGATTACCATACCCACTGAGCCGTCTCTGCTGGTGGCATCCGGCCCGTAAAATACGCGGCTATCCGGACACCGAAAATTGGAGCTGCAGGCCTGCATAGATTCTCTCTGTCCGGTTCCTGCTCCATTCGCTCGATTTGAGTTGAGGTATCCATACCTTGTCCATTTTGACTTTTATGTTTTAGAATCAAATCACGAATTGCTGAATTCATTAGTATTTATAGTTTGAGTTACATGCGGGGATCCATCTTTGCAATGATTATTGCTATAGTTAATGGGTTTCCTGTTATAATTTTAATAATCTATATCTATTACTCCGTATAAGCGAGCTGATTTATCATTATTTTATATCTTGTTTAAGCTCGATGATCACCATCTTCTAGTGCAAGTGGTTGCATATTCGCGTTCTGCATCTGTCTCCCTTCACAAATATGATAAAAAGTGACGCTATTTTCCCGTTTTCAGTATGCATTTTCTTTATTTAGGAAGATAAGCTTCTAATTCCGCTGTATTTTACCTAATGCCATTTTTCCCCCACATCAGGCATTTTGCCTTTTTTGAAAGGCACACGCATGTTACATGGAAGCAATCATCATATCTGCAGTTTTTAGTCCATGCCACCATTTTGTGATATTATTTACTGGACACGAATTTTATTCAAAAACATTTTTTGTCACCAACAGATTATCTTGTCTTCTCCTGTGCTATTCTTTTCAAAAGCTGTTTTTTTTTTTTTTGAAAAACATTGAAGTTGCTTTGATTTAAGTCTCAACTACGCAATGGTTTAAATTTGGACTATCCTCTGAAAGAGAGTCTCCTCAGTGGTGCTGGGGTAACACATATGTGGTTTTTTATTTCTTCGTGCTCATAAGAATAAAAGTTGAAATTTTGAATTTGTTTATGATCAATTTCGGCACTTATACTGGATTGGCAGTATTACACACTTGTAATAACATAGTACTAGTAATTATTAGATACCTGGGAATAAATTTATAGTTTAATGAATAACGTTTTCTTGTAGTTGTTGTGGTTAACCTTATTATTGCACCTGGTGCTACAGTCCATTCTACTAGATATGACAAGTCTTACTGTCTAAGTCCAAGTCCTGGATAGGAAAGATGTGGAAACACGAGTCTTCTGAAAATCTGAAAAGAAGAGGCTGGGTAACTTACTAACACTTACATTATTAACTGTGACCTAGGTTCATTAAATAAAGCATTTTCTACTTGGGAAGTTGCAAGTTTTTTTTTTTCCTTTTCTTCAATGTATATGTTATCTAGGAATAACTATATTTCATTATTTCCTGAAGTCATTATTAATATTAGGCTATTAGCTACTTTTTGAGTGTAGTTTTTTCCTTTCAGAGATGCTACTTTTATGCAAATTTAAATGATTTCTAATACATTGTTTTATTTTTACTTCAGAGTTGGTAATGTAATCCTGTGAATATCATTTGTACATATGAAGGACATAAGATCATGGAGGTCAATAATGAAGAAAAGAAGTGACTCATTTGAAGGGGTATGTTAGTATGTATAGCTGATTAGTTTGTAGTTCCTAAATCCTAAGCCAGACTAAATTGTTGAAAGCTATCTGTTTTTGACTTGCATAGACACTATAGTTTATGTTGTGTGGAACCTGCAAAAATGGATTTGCACTTTTGCAGGGAACATGTGGACTGAAGATGAAACCGCTTCCATTTATGGCAATAGTTTGTACAGTAATGCTGTTTATTGGATATAGGACCACTAATTTTCAATATCAGCGGACAGAGGTACTCATGTCATAAACTTGTTTGTCCTATATTTTAAGTTTTAAACGATTCATGTGAAGTTCTAAATTCTTCTTTCCTTTTTGAAAAAGGGTTTGCTTATAAGATATAACCTTCTGAAATGCTTCCACTTGTTCTTATGGGCATTTAGAAAGTACGCTCTTGCGGTGAGCAAGACATTCAAGTGGCTTTGCTGCTAATTTCATCATTGAAGTATGCAAAGATGAAATTTGCCCTTTTTTGCAAAGTTGTGTGCAATTCTTTTCGTGTCAACTAGTTAGAGAATGATTTGAAAAGTAGAGTTATGCCTTGCTAATTGGGGAGATTCCCGAAATAGGAGTAAAAAAGTTTGGAAATTCCAAAATAGGACTGTCATGTTTTTATTCCCAAAATAGGAGTAATTACTGCCAAGTTTGGAAAATACTCCCTAAAGTCTGGTACTGCCAAAACATGACAGTAATTAGTCCTATTTTGGGAATAAAAACAGGATAGTCCTATTTTGGAATATAAAACGTTTTTAGTCCTATTTAGGGTAATTAGTCCTATTATGAGTGCCTTACTCAGAACATTTAAACTAGGGGCTTGATATTATGCAGAACAATCTTCATAAATACTACTCCCTCCGTCCCAATTTGTTTTGCAAAGCTTGAGTGGCACAAGAATTGAGGAATGACAATAAATGAAGCTTGCCTTTTACTTTTTTGCCCATCTTTCATAAAGTAGATGTCTTTAAGTTAATGGAGATAAGGTAAAGTTTGTCATTTTATATATATACATACCTAAAATAGAAAGTGGAAAATCATTTTGGGACGACTAAAATTAGAAATTTTGGAAATCAGATTGGGATGGAGGAAGTATTACATATAACATTTGAAATTCAAGCATAAATTATAATATGTTTAATCAAGAAAGAATACGCATAAAATACATGTCATTATATTTCCTAAAATATATGTCAGCACTAATAATTTTTCATTGCAACTCGTTGAACTACCATTAATTTTAAAAGTAAATATTCACAAGAACATATATTATATCTATTTTTTTTATAAGCTTTCGACCAAACTCATTAATAGTGGATGATGTAGAAAATTATCTCTCGGGTTGTACATAAAGTTTGTACGTATTTACTTGGTTATCTAGTATTGCCATAGCATCACTGCCATCACTACTAGAGAACTGTTTGGGTAACATATTGCAGGATAAACTAATGTATTCTTATAATGTACTATCGTATGACATATATATTTGCACATACATGTATTGCCTTTATTTATACTATGTAGTTTAATACACAATACAACAATGCACACATCTCATTATGCTATTTAACATTGTCTTTTTGTTTCCTTATCAGATGGAATCCAAATTTGATCCTTTCTACACCTCAAAGGTATTCATAGTATTATATGTTCACTTTACGATCATCATACTCGTAAGCATTTTTTATATACTCCACATGCTATGTATGATTCAGGATTATGGTGGTTCTGGCAGTAGATTGAGTAGTTTGCCTCGTGGTATCATAGAAGCTAGATCTGATCTTGAGTTGAAGCCTCTGTGGTCAACAAGTAGCTCCAAGTCCAAGGTATGTATTGATTATTGCATGTATATTTACTTTCCTTCATTGAAGATTTCCTACTTTGTCAAATGCTATGATTTTGATTTGAACTTAAAACCATATGTGAGTTCTTGTAATTTTTTTTTATCCTTCCATTTGCAGGATAACGTTCCAGGTTCGCATAACCTGTTGGCAATACCAGTTGGCATCAAGCAGAAAGATAATGTGGATGAAATTGTTCAAAAGGTCCGTTTTGTCTTTATTTTTGGGATTTTCATGAAGTGACTGGAATTTATCATGATACATACTATACCTGACCCTTTTCTATGTTTTTTTTTGTTTGTTTCCGGTTTGGTTCAGTTTCTTTCAGAGAATTTCACAATTATTTTGTTCCATTATGATGGCAATTTGGATGGATGGTGGGACCTAGATTGGAGTAAGGAGGCCATTCATATAGTTGCCCAGAATCAAACAAAATGGTAAGTAGTAGAGCACACTTCCTTAAGACAGGCTCACAGGCCATTTTGGAGAGTTTGTTCGTCTTTATACTTTTCAGCTATTCGAGTGTACAGTATTTCATATTCAAGGCTAAAGGGTCAAATAGACCCTGTACCTTGTTCTGATCGCTCAATTTTACACCTGAGCTTTAAAAGGTCCAGTTCACACACTGAACTCACTAAAATATTCAAATTCCATTTTGACATTTGAACTTTAGGTTACTCTTCATGTCACCCGGTAAGGAGCCATGGATTTGACGTGGAAGCTAAATGGTCAAAAAAGTCCCTAAACACTTCTTAGTTTCACCCCCTCAACCGTAATACAGGTTCAACCGTTCAACATTCCGATATATTTAAAACATAAAATATAAATGCAAATATAAAATATAAAATTTAAATAGGAAATATTTATAATTGCGGTAAATTCAAAACATAAACTTGCCAGCTTTCCTTATTTGGGTGTCCTAAAAACTTTTCCACTTTCCATTTAATCAATTGATTTGTGGTTTCTATTATTTCTCTCCTTTGCGCAAAGTCACAAACCTCAACCATACAGTTTTTACTTTATTATTTTCGTGCCAGTCAAACTTGGCAAAGTTGCAAAATTATAAGGGAAAGAGGGAGTATAAGAATAGAATATAAAATAAATTACAATTTTATACGGTATATTAGTATATATTATAATTTTTTTCCACATTTATACTTATATTTTACATCACACATTTAATATGTTGTACTGTTATAAGTCAAATTGAATATTTATATTTTATGTTCTATAAAATATTTTAGAATTTATGGTTTTATATTTGATATTTGATATTTTTATGATTATCATTTTACATTATCTTTTATATCATATTTTATATTTTAAAACTTCCCAACTGTTAAAATCTAAAATTGTAAAAATATAAAATATAAAGTCTAAAACCCAAGGCCTAAAATAATTTATACTCCCTCCGTCCCTTATAACTTTACATCTTTCCTTTTTTGGTTGTCCCAAAAACTTTGCCACTACCTTTTAGTCAATTAATTTGTTGCTTACATTATTTATCACTCCTCTGCACAAATCTCAACCACACATTTTGTACTTTATTATTTCTCGTGCCAGTGTAACATGACAAAGTTTTAAGGGACGGAGGGAGTACAACACAAAATTTAAAACATTAAAAGAAACAAAATATATAAAATGTAGATATAAACTGCAAATATAAAAAATAAATGTAAAATATAAATATTATTCATAAAATACAAAGTACGGAGTATTAAATTATCATCTATTTTTATTAATGTTTATATGTGTATATATATATATTTCTATATATATTTTATTTTTTTATTTTTATTTATTTTGAATTTATCGCAGTGTTGGCCTTTTTTTGTGGTTGGGGGGGGGGGGGGTGAACTGAACATCTTGGCCGGGTCCAGGGACTTGTTTGACCCTTTAGCTTCCACCTCAGATGCACGGTTGACACCTTGACATGGCGAGTAATTGGCACTTTACATGTAAAATATGGAATTTGAATCGTTTTAGCGAGTTTAGACTTTAGAGTGTAAATTGAATATTTTTTAGTTCAGGGGCTGAATTGAGCAACGGGAAGGGTACCGGGCTTATTTGACCCTTCATCTTTATTATAAATCATGAAAACTGGAAAAGTATGTCCTGATGCAGCAGTTGGATGCCCTAGGTGGTTTACTCACCACATTTGTTTGCATATATTCTACTAGATGCTTTGCCCTTCTATTATAATCCTTTACCCAAATTTTCGTTATGGCAGACAGTTGGTTTTTGATGATTTTCTCATTGATATCAAGATGGTAACCATTGTATCCATTTTTCCCAGGTGGTTTGCGAAGCGTTTTCTACATCCTGCTGTTGTATCTATTTATGATTACATATTCCTATGGGATGAAGATTTGGGTGTAGAGAACTTCCACCCTGGAAGGTACCATCATCATGTTAGTTGATTGCCTTATTATGGCTATTCATGTGTTGATTTATTTCATTCACTGGATGAGCGTCTCTAGGAGTTAGTCCGTGTCATCTTCATGATTGTAGATTTTAGGTAGAATCCTCTTCGCATTTGTCATTTTAGGTTTATAATGAGATTTTATAATCTCATGATTAACAGCTTTTATAATTCTTTTTTTTGCTAATATTTATTTGGGCATTGCAGATATATCGAAGTTGTAAAGGCAGGAGGATTGGAGATATCTCAGCCAGCTTTGGACCCCAATTCAACTGGCATTCACCACCGGATAACAATAAGAAGAAGAACCCGCAAATTTCACAGGTAATAAGCTTTGATGTTGAAGACTCAAACTACTTTTTGAACTTTGATCATCCAAATAATACTGGAATGCTGCTTTAAGCAGAAGAGTATATGAGGATAGAGGCAGTACAAAGTGTTCCGAAGAAAGTGAAGGCCCTCCTTGCAGTGGGTAAGCTTGTTTCTACCTTGCTTTGGCCGCTATTTTGTGATGTGTGAAAAGGTGTTCACCCTTATGGCATTATATATTTGCAGATTTGTGGAAGGAATGGCTCCCGTCTTTTCAAAATCTGCATGGCATTGTGCTTGGCATCTTATACAGGTGAGAGATTTTGCTCTCTCACAAAAAGAACAATCTGTTTGTCTAACATTCTCAAAAAAGTAAAGCTATATTATGGAATATTTAACTTTTCATTTTTCTATAAGAACAAAATAACAATCTGTTTTTGTATCATTCTCACAAAATTAAAGCTATTAGAGAATATTCAATTTTTCTTATTTCTATCAGAATGATCTTGTTCATGGATGGGGAATGGACATGAAGCTTGGCTATTGTGCACAGGTATCTTTAGTCATCTACCTCACACCTATGGATATGTATTTTTGTGGAACCTATCGTAACCACAACCACACACATGTTAACTTTGGATGAGCATTATGTTTTCACTATCAGTTGATTTGAATGTTTTTAGTGGAGTGGGGGCTGATTGTAGGCTTTAATCATTCCTGTGTTTTGGTTCAAACTTCTATAGGGGGACCGGACAAAAAAAGTTGGCGTTGTTGATAGTGAATATGTAGTCCATCAGAGCATCCAAACGTTGGGTGGGCAATCTTTTAAAAAGGTAATTGTTTTGCATAAATTTTTGTTCTCTTTTTGAACAAAAGCATAGATGCCATATATGAGGATTGGAAAGAAAATCATTTCTTCTCTAATGCGGATTCTGTTCACCTTTTCTTGTGACGGGTTAGTGGTTGTCTGAATACAGTGTAGTTTTCTACTACCACTGTTAATCAGTATCGCAATTGAAATCTTTTACCATGCATATAATGCATCACCCCACAACCTATAAAAATAGGTAGTTTTTTCATGTATGCAGCTCAATAACGATTTTAAGATTTTTAATGCATACCTGAAATAAAGAGCCAAATGAAAACCTCTAGTTTTATCTCTTGGGATTTGGTTTTCCAGTAATTGTGACATGTCAAAAACTTCTGAACTTAGTTTTCGCTTCTAGAAACCAGACAACTTTTTATTTTGCTGCTGCTTTGAATATTTCATAACTGCAAATTTTCTGATATGCTATGTGTTTACAGTGCTTCTATTTTTTCCATTTTTCAGGATTCAAATCCCCAAGAGCTGCTGAAAGTATGTCTTTGTTTTTGTGTTTGACACCAGTCACGCAAGTGCGCATGCGCACACATTAGCTCCATTTGATGACATAAAATATATTTTTTGGAAATATTTTATTTTGATAATGATTTCTTGGAACATTATAGGTTACATGTGCTATAATATTTAACCAACAAAAAAGAAGTCTTTCCCCTATACAAGAAAACAGAGAAAATATTCTCCGTCAATCAAATGGAGCCTAAAACAGTGTAATAATGTTTGAACTCATTTATAAACCCATTTTTTTTATTTGCAGAGGCATGTTGTTGATGTTAGATCGGAGGTAAGACCCAAGACACATTTCCTTTTATAAAATCTTTGGAAGTTAAAAGGCAATTTATTATTTCTTACACTGAAGTTCAATAAGCTGATTATTAAGGATGTTTTTACTTGGATTGAAATTTGCTGGTGTGGTCTGTACTGGTCTGGTCTGTACTGGTCTGGTCTGGTCTGATAAATGTGTGGTCTTTGTGTATTTTATAACTATAGAAGTTTGGTCTAGTCTGGTTTGGTCTATTTAAGTCTGGTCGGGTAAGGACCGAAAAAAGTCCAAGTAAAAACATCCTAAGCCTTTTAACATTGAAAACCCAAGACACGTTTCCTTTTATAAAATCTAGCATATTAAGCTATTGTAGCCAATAATCCTTACTAAGGACTCCAGGTATCTCTTACTGATCTAATCAAATTCATCTTCTTTAGATAAGGCGTCAATCCACAAATGAACTACAAGAATTTAAAGAGCGTTGGGAAGAAGCTGTAAGGGAGGACAAGAGCTGGGTGGATCCGTATAAAGAAGGTAGTCAAATCCAGAAACGTAAGATCAGGAAAAGGAGGAACCATAGGCGAAATATAAATCTATAGACTAACTATAATCGTCAGCAGTTTTGTTTTTTATCGTCGTTCTAGTTTGTTCAACCTCAATTCAGTTTACCTTGAAGCGTCCACCTGTAATTTGTAGTGTGTAGGTTGATCAACTGAACGACACAATTTGTTTATTGTTTGACTGTTGGTTTTGCCTGTCATGGTGTTATAATCCCCTTTTGCTCTAAATTTATTCAATGAACCAGTCTGGCTTTTCAATGGGTGAATTTAGATAACCAATGAACTTTTTTTAAAATCAACCAAAGACAATACAGGCCAATGAGATATTTCAAGTGCCTCTGTAGTAGTGCTGGACTCGGGCCGGGCGGCCCGGCCCGGAACCGGCCCGGCCCGGTTACTGTTAGGCCCGGCCCGGCCCGGGGCCCGGAGGGTCCACCGGTTCGGTTCGGCCCGGCCCGGCTGCTGGGCGGTTCGGGCCCGGGCCCAGGTTTTGGTGAACCGGCCCGGCCGGTTCGGGCCCGGTTCGGGCCGGATTTTAATTTTTTTTTTTTTTTTTGAAATTTTTTTAAGTTTTAGGTTGGATTAGGTATTTTGGGCCATTTGAGGTGGTTTGGGATGGTTTGGGGTTGAGGGGGAGGGGTAGGGGATTAAATAGGAGACCAAAAAAAAAAAAAAATTAAGTGGGCCGGTTCGGCCCGGCCCGGCCCGGCCCGGTTTGGCCCGGAACCGGAACCGGAACCGCCCACCGGCGGTTCGGGCCCGGGCCCTAGTTTTCTGGCCCGAGGCCCGGCCGGGCCCAGGCCCGAACCGGGCCCGAACCGGCCCGAGTCCAGCCATACTCTGTAGTGTCTCTTATTTTGGAATACTTCGAGTGTAAACTATGAATCATATTTTTTGGAGAATATTTTGATGCACTATGTTTTTTTTTTTTGTTTTTTGTTTTTTTTTTTGTTTTTACTCCCGACCTCCAGGGGGGTCTGGGGGAGGGGGCCTGAATGGGGGCTAGAATAATCATGGTTGAAACTTAGTCCATTGAGTTTCGAACCCTTGTGGGTTTCGAACTCAAGACCTCCACTAGTCATGGTAACCTCACAATCAGTTGAGTTGGAATGTTTCGTTTTTGATGCACTATGCTAAACTAAGGGAAATGATCTCTTAACAATGGAACATGTCAACTTTTCGTAATTTTTTATACTATAAATGAATAGGGTGTTTATTGAGAGCAAGTATTTCTTAGAAGTTGTTTTGTAAATTTGACTTGAATGTTTCTTCTGATCTGAATTTTTAAGATATGGTTTGATTTGATCAAATTTTTCTCATTTGATTTGAATCTATTTGACATAATTCAGAAAAATGAATACTAAAGTGTCACACACGGTATTATTGAGATGAATAGAAGTGAAAATAGAAAGGAAGGACAACTTATTACAACTATAATAGTGAAAATAGAAGCACAACTTTTCAAAATTATACGTTGTAGAATAAAAGTGAAATAATTAAAAAATGACAATTGAAAAAATTCTTCATTAATAATAACACATCTTATTAGCTAAAAATTAAACAATTTCAACTAAAAACCAATCAATTTTCGATGGCTCATATGTTACTCCATACTTTAAAAAATTTCAATAATTAGGTATACATAAGCTTTTGTCGAGTTACTTATTGTTTTTTTTTATGGGGGCTATGGACTGTATAATGGGCTCACCTAATATTTTCTTTGGGTTTGCCTATTATTTTCTTTCATCTCTTGTGTGGTTGTGTACTTGTGTGCGAAAATGTTAGTTTTGGAGATTCTTTTTCCCGTTTTCACTAACCTTTTTTGTTTTTATCATATTTAAAAACTTTTTTTTTGTTTTTATCATATTTAAAAGAAAGATATCTTTTCTAAAAAAAGTTGAATTCTTTTTTTAACCTTCGCATCAATTATACTAATGCCTAAACTTTTGAATCTTTCTAACATTATTGTTCCAGTTCTCTCCTTTTGTCTTCAAAAGTTTTTCCCATTCATTATACTCTAATAACTAGCATGTCATTGACATTTTTAGCAACTCTATTTGAAAGCTTCTACTTTTATTTTTCTAACTATTGTAATATGTATAAATAATGATAAATCTATATATTGAATACCAATGGTCCTAAATCCAATCGCCAGGGGCAGCACCTACGAAGACTGACAGCTACTCCTCTCTTCCTCTCCTTTCTTTTAGTCTGCAAACCATCGTTGCTTGCTCCATCGTCGTTTCCAGCGGCGGCAACGAACTTCATAGATCCGGTGGAAACTTCATCCTCCAGTCGCGGCGGTGAGCTTCGTGAATTCGTCGGCGAACTTCATCCTCCACCGGCGGCGGCGAGCTTCGTAAATCTAGCGAGTAGCTTCGTAAATCCTGTTGGATTTGAGAGCAGATCTGGAACTATTCTTCTGTGGAACTGATTAGGCTTGGGTGGGGCATGGAGGAGTGGCAGATGGCAAGGTGTTGGCGTAAGGATGATGTTGGTTTAGTTTGGTCGGGGGATGTATGGTCGTGATGGGCATTGGTGGGTGCAGGGAGGGGTTGTTGGGGCTATTTGGACAATGACAAGGGTGGGGGTAACAGGTAGAGGCGGTGGCCGGAGCTGGGGCGGCGGCACGAAGGTGGGCTAGTTGAAGGGCTACGTCGGGGTGTGGTGTTGGGCTGCAGTTGTGTAGGAGATGGGGACTGGGGATGGTGCTGGTGGGATGGGGAGGGGGTCTGGTGTATTGGGAGGAGCAGGCGGAGTCACTGTTCGAGCACCGCCAGTCGACAAAGGCAGTTTTGTCGAAGGAAAATTAGCGGGCAGTTTTAAATAAGACTAAGAGCCCGTTTGGTAGCATCAAAATCGGCTGTTTTGGCTGATTCTGCTGAAATTTATGATATTCTGGCTGGAGTGGCTGTTTTGGCTGATTCTGCTGATTTAAGAAAAAAATATTTTAAAAATATATTTTATCAATAAATTAAAGAAAAAATTATATGTAAAAATAGCTAAAATGGTCCTCTACAGTAACTTCAGCCAATACAGCCAGAAAAGTAACTCCAACCTTACTTTTTCGGCTTATTACACAATTCAGCGCGCGAAAGTAAAAGTTACGTGTTTGGTGAAAAAGCTGGCTGATAAGCCTGATAAGCCGAAAACAGAGTTCTCCAAACGGGCTCTAATTATTGCCAAAATGATAGTACTACATATTTTGAAATTACTACACATTAATGCATCTGAGAGTTCACAGATGTTCCAAACATGACAATCATTACTCACATTTAATGAAGTAGTACATATATGTATAAGGCTTCTCTTTTAGAATTTCACAATTTGTAGGTATGTACCACATAGTAGGCAGTATTATCTATTATTTAGGGCAACTAGGATTATATTTTTCTAAATTTATCATAAATTACTCCTAAAAAGAGTATTAGTCCTAACCATTTCCCCCACTTGAAAGCACTAGGGAGCTGCTTCAATGTGCTTCTATTATCATGCTGGAGTTCACGCTCAAGCTCATGCTCCTCCACCACAAGTTCACGCCCGCGCTCACGCTCACGCTTGTGGAGTTCACGCTTAGGCACAAGTTCACGCTCAAGCTCATGCTCCTCGGCCTCCTCCACACGCTCGCGCTCACGCTTGTTGAGATCACTGAGCTTGTGGAGTTCACGCTCAATATCAAGTACAATCTGGTGCGCACGCTTGTGCTCAATAATGCTTGTTTCGGTTATCACACGTTGACACACAGGGCACAAAGCACTATGCCTCAACCATCGAGCAATGCAATGAGGGTGATAAAGATGCATGCATGGCAATTCGCTTGCATCCTCACCAACCAAAAACTTGTCTTGGCAAACAGGACATTTAGTTGAGTCTCTGCAATCGGATTTTAAGACTTTTACTATCGGTATTGAAGCAATTACACCTTCTGGTATGGCGCCGATAACTCTGCGGCTGCTGCTTCTAGCTGGAAGATTATTACGGTTTTGCATTATTCGTTCGATGAGAGGTATCATCGGGCGACCCAAATTATTGTCTATTAGTGTCACGGGCGGTAGTTGATCGACAAGTGTAGACACTTCTATAAGGACGTCAATTTGACCTGAAGGGCATAATGCGATTCTCCGAAGCTGATACATGGGATTGTCACACCGATCGCACCTCGCGTTTGCTGTCATATATGTGAATTCGTGGGTTCGGCAACGATCGCACCACAAACAGGGCCGGTCGTTCAGCTCTGCAGGAATGAGTGGGACTAGTTGACCGGAACATGACCTATTATCACATATTCTTTCTGAAGATGAGAATAAGTGGCACTTGACAAGTTTTTTGCATAGGTAGCACCAATAATTACACCATCCTTCATTCCAGCTCCTGCGGTCGTAGTATCCGTTGAGGTCGTTATCACTTCCGAGAACAAGAAATCTATATGATGGCATTATTATTTAATTAAAGATATACGGAGTATATAAAACTTAAGTACTTAGTCCTATGAAAAAGAAACTTAAGTACTTAACGTAATGCGAGTTAAATGCACACACATTTAAGACCACTAAAGCAAACACCATATATATACACACATGAGTACATGACGCACGCACGCACATACGTAATGTTAGAAACTGGATGTAGGTAGAAGTATTATTGGACATTTGTAGGGACACGTTATGTAGAAACTTAACACCCAAGAAAAGCATCTTTTTTTTTTTTTTTTTTTTAATTCTAGTCACTTTTTGTTAAAGACATTTATTTGCAGCAATTACGCTACTTCTACTTATGGAATAAAAACATGGATTTTGCAATACACAAACGTTTTTACTCCGGTAATTTCCGTAAAAGATATATATACCTCATCTACCTCTATATAAAAAGAGGTGAAAAAATTGGCGGGTTTCCCGCCCAAAAATATGGGCTAATTAACGGGTCGGGTTATGTAGAGCAAATGAACATTAACGGAGGTCATTCAATTGATCGGGATCATTCATCGGTCAACTAAAAAAACACTTGTTGATTAAAGCGAGGTGTCAGAATCCTGCCTATTGATATTTCGTTTTCCGGACTCTCGAAAACCGAAAAATATTTGGAGTATATAGCAATCTAAAATCCCTATGTTCAAATCTCAGAATACTGTGTGCATACGACCAGGGGCGGATTCAGGATTTGATGTTGGGCGGGGCTGAAAATTTTAATTGATAATACATTGATTTTTTTTCAAAATAAGCGAAAAATCAAATATAAAAGTTATCCCCTAAATTTGTTCTAGACAAAGCTTTGAAACAAAAAACTCATCAACAATAGAGTTTACATCTATACTGATAGTAATATCTTTTTCAATGTAAAGTGTCATGCAATTAGCAATAAAACTATCATCCAATTTATTGCAGAGTGTTGCCTTTAGAAGTTTCACGACAGAAACTGATCATTCTATCTAGTGTTGCAGTAGAAACAATAAGACCAATACGAAGTGAATCAATCTAGTCATCTTAACATATGAATCACACCTTTTGCTTTTAGTTAACTCCTCACATAATTCAACAAGTGTAGATACTTGAAACTTGATATCCTGAATCACATCATGAACTTAGTGTTGCAGCTCGAATTTCAAGGCACGAATGTCCTGACTACTAAAATCTTCGGGATAAAACTTCCTTACAAGAGTACAAATAGCATCGACATTGAACGACTCATGAATTTTTTGGATCAAATGAAACACTCAAAGAAAGGAGTTCCACTGATTTATCATTAAACCGGGTCGTTAACTCCATGAATAAAAGTATATTACCTCATTGAAAACATCAAAGTAATAATGATTCTCAATTGTAGTTTCTTTTCAGCAATGACCAACCATATATTTAGAAATTAGAATTCAAGTCTGGTGCATGAATTTATTTTTTGAGAAAAACTCGTTTACTTCTTCAAGAAAACATTCCCATCTATGAGTTTTGCTAGGTGTACACAAAATGTGTACACAAAATGTGTACACATGCCCGCCCTTCACAGAAATTTTGTCTGTCACAGACAACTTAAAATGAGTTGTCTGTGACAGACAAAATTTCTGTGAAGGACGGACATGTGTACACATTTTGTGTACCCCAAGCATTTTTCTCTCATCTATTTTTTGTCAATTCCTTAAGAATTAGTTGTGTAGTAGAAAGATGTCTCATGGCTACCGAGATATTCAATAGTTTTTTTTGAAGACTTTGAGAGAGAATAGTTGTTAATCCCATAACTTTGTGCATCAAACTAAATTGAACACAAATTCAAAACATGAAAAATGTCTATATACACTACAAACTTTTGCCCAAGAACTCACTCTTGGGCAATTAATGTTGTTGAAGATACTCAAACACTTTACAAGTTCATGTGAACATGCTAATCAAGTTCTTAATTGAATCATATTTTATTGTATTTATTACATTGATGCTTTGTGGGCTTTATGGCCATTATACGTATAAATTAAGTGCCACTTATTAAGTGGGAGGTGATGTGTATAACATTTATATCGGATTTTTAGATGGTAAGATTTTGTTTTATAGACTAGGCTGAAAAATTGGAGTGGGCTATACAAAAACCCGGGGTGGGCTAGATGGAATTATGTCAAAATAATACCTAAAAAAATTATTTTTTTTTGCTTTGCCCTGGGCTTCAGCCCACCATAGCCCTAATAGATCCTCCACTGCATACGACATACATATATACGAGGGGCTGGGAAAGGCAAAAGACGGGTGGTGGCCGTTATAAGCCGAAAGGCGGTGGAGATGGCCGGAGACACGAGTCACACGACTGAGAGGGCATATGACGTTAAGGATGGCATCAAGTAGTGGGTGGATAAAGGCCACAAGACAGCAGAGGAATTGGAGAAAGGAGCCATGGAATCGTTCAAAGAGCAACTATCTATGGCGGCGGGAGATGTGAAGCAACGAAGAGAGAAGTTTGCTAGAAGGTTGAAAAGGTCCAGGAAGAAGCTAGGCAATCGGGGAAGGCTAAGTGGGTCACGTTGACCGGTTGGCTGAATCAGAGTCGGATTCGGCCGGGGATTTGACCGCAAAGAAACAACAAGCCAGAAAGACCGGAGGTTAAACAAAGTAGTGAAATTTGATGTTACTTCGTATACGATTGAGCAAAAAACTAAAGAGGCGTCAGCTTGATAATCCAACCGCATCTTTCCTCAGGGTCACGGCATCACTTAGCCATGTAATTAGCCAGGTTGATAATCCAACCGCATCTTTCTTTCTTTGTTCTAATCTACATTTCATGTTAGAGATAAAAGTGCAAAAGTAGGAGTTTAATGTTCCGTGTGATTACATAGGAGTAAAATTAAGTGAGTTGACCAAACTACCCTTAATGAAAAGGCTAATGTCTTAGCTCAAAATCTCAAATACTCCGTATACCTAAATTAAAATATTAAAACAACAGCTGTACACAACTATGGTCTTATCTTGCACGTAAGACACCAGTCCAACAGATCACCGCAGACACCACCTACTACCTGCACTAGACGTTGCCACCGCCTCCGGCAGCCACCCCGGCAGCCGCCTCCTCCGGCCACCGCCGACGTTGATGACGTCGCCGCCAACACCGATACCTCCGATGCCGCCGCCTCCACCATCGGTCACTGTCATTGCTGCCGGCGTCGCTGTCGCCGCCGCCGGATCCTAGTCTGGTGCGGCCACCTTTGTTTCTTTTGGCTCCACCACCGCCAATATCAGATCTGGAAAAAGTGGTTAAAAATGTGATATGGCCATTTGAGTGCCATATCGTCATCTTTACAAATACCATATTAAATGATGTATTTGTAAGGTTCAATATTGCCATCATGATGGAATTAGTACCATAAAAATGACACTAATGTATGAAAATATGGCATTACTAGTATTGTATTTTCCATCATGATGGCATTAAGTGTCGTAAATTTTTCACATGGAAATATATGACACTATTAATATTGTTTTTGGAAATAAGTGCTATTTTAAGCTTAATTCCATATACTTGCTTTAAAATTGTAACTTCATATTCAAATCCGAAAAGTAATGTGAAAAATCACAAAGACATTATATTGACGAAATCAATGTAAAAATTTATGATCTATTAAAAGGTAAAATATAAAGTTATAAAAACAAAAAACCGAAGAAAAAGTTGAAAAGAAAAAAGAGAAAGAGATCAAGAAGAAATAGGATGAAAACAAATCTGGATAAAGAGAAGAACATAAGAAAAAATACGATGAAAACAAATCTGGAAAAAGAGAAGAACATTAAACAAAAACCAAGTAAAAAAATTATGTGAAATCAAGTTTCTGCTAAGGAGAGAGGCAAGACACATAGCAATATCTTCAATTTCAAAATCTCATAAACCATAAACTTGGGAAGCATACGGTTGGAGAACAAAATGAAGAGAAAACACTAGTTCAATATTTAGTGTCTATCTGGATTGGATTCAATTAGATCGAACTAGCCAATAAAAGTTTTTCTTCCTTCATTAACTGAGAAAAAAGAAAGGAGGAGGAAGTGAAGGAAGAGAAGGAGAAGAAAGAAGAAAGATAACCTGTGCCGTCGCGGCGGCGCCCATCGGTGGTGGCCGGAGATGAAAAAAATTGACAGATCCAGCGATGGAGAAATGAGATTCCGATGGAGAAACGAGACAACATGTCTGAAATCCATGTGCGCCAGAGTAGGGGGGCAGGGGAGAGGGAGAAGGAAGGGAGAAAGAGGGGAGAATGTGCGGGAGATCGAGAAGAATCTGACAGAAATATAGGGTAATTGTAAAGAGGGGTAGAATTGGAAAAAGGAACGGTCAATTAACAAATAACTCCTATTTGGGAAATAAATCAAGAGGAACTCCTATTTTTGAACTTTCTTATTATTTTAGTCTTACTTAGGACAATTACTTTTCATGTTAACGTTGTGTATTTCTCTTCTTTTAGCTCTCCACCCCTATTGTTCTTAAGGTTTAATGCCTGCAATTCTGTAAATGAGTTTTGTTTAAGTTGTGAAGTGAGAATGACGTCGGTAATCAACAAAAACTTACGTAGTACTACGTACTTCATATTACACTTTACCTCTTTTCTTTTTAATTACATTTGTAAAATTTACATTATTTACATTTTACTACGTATTTTTTAGCACTGCAAATATTGTAAGTAATTTATTTTGAAACATGCCTTTCATTTTAAAAACGGAGTGAAAAATAAATAGTTTAATTTGTTCAATGGGAAAAGATAAAAATTGAAATGTTGCAATGAATAAAGAGCTGGATGTACGGAGTATAAAATTACTCCGTTTATACTCCCATTGGAGTAGTAAAAACGGGTCCAAACTCCAGAGCGGGACAACAATTACTCCATGATAAAGGTCGTTTCCAGTCCCAGACCAGAACAAACCAAATTAGGATGTTTTCTTTTGGACTGTTTTCAGTCCCAGACCAGACCAGACTTAAACAGACCAGACCAGACTAGACCAGACTTAAACAGATCAGACCAGACCAGACCAGACTTAAACAGACTAGACCAGACCAGACCAGACCAGACTTCCGTAGTTATAAAATACACAGAGACCAGACGTTTACCAGACCAGACCAGACCAGACCAGACCAGACTTAAACAGACCAGACCAGACCAGACCAGCAAATTTCAGTCCAAAAGAAAACATCCTTAGACCAGATCAGACTTCCTGGTTATAAAATACACTGAGACCAGACCAGTTCAGATCAGACCAGATCAGACCAGCAAATTTCAATCCAAAACAAAACATCCTTAATCCACTTAGGGTTTGTTTGCAATAGTAGAGTTTCTGTTTTATTTGAATTGTGTTATAGAGTACATTGGAAATATAAGTGCAAAGTATTTAATTACTTCTCATAACTGCGCATACGTGGAGCCGCACAAAAGAATAGATTAATTAATTATCTATAGAAAGTTGTAGGGAGTACGGAGTATTAGATATGGTTATCCATTCTATTTAACAAAAATGCTATATGTACATGAGTAGTACACGTTTTGTACACACTATATATAACTTTTTTCATCTTTTCCTTTTACCATTCAGTTCCCTCATTTTCCTTTTCACAATTCAAAAATGCTATATGTACATGAGTAGTACACATTTTGTACACACTATATATAACTTTTTTCATCTTTTCCTTTTACCATTCAGTTCCCTCATTTTCCTTTTCACAATTTCACCCTCCTTTCTCTCATCTCCCTCTATCCTCTTCCACGAAAATCCCTCTTCCTCTTCTCCAGCTTTCTCCCATAATCTGTAATAAACCTTCCCCCCTCTCCAAATCTTTCACCTCTCCAAATCTTTCACCCTTCTGTGAACGTAACCCTCCTCCTCCACAAAAACTCCTCCCCCACTTGATATATTGTTCCACGAAATCTACAAACCGTCCCCCCTCTCCTGAAATTACCACCTCTCATCCCTTATCTTTTTTTTTCTTTTTTTTTTGTAGAAAACGGGATGACAACATCGACAAAGCCAGATTCGATCGTTCATTTCCACAGCCACCATGGTATTCATTTCTCTTTCATCTTCCTCCAATTAAACCTCCTTAACCCTAACTCATGAGATAATAAATTCCCCCTAATTCATTCATAAACTTGTCAGTTTTGTTCTCAAATGAAATTTCTGGCCAAATTCTCGTTATTTCTTTTATCATCCAACATTTGTTGGCTTCTCACTGTTAACCCTTGCAGGAATTGTGAGTCGACGAGAAACACACCCTCTGATGACCCCCACTAGTTTCCAAGAAGAAAAAACCCTCTGCCGGTAAGAAATAATTCAATATTCTGAATTTTTAAGCCATTTGAAAATTCAATGCTTGTTTTTTTACATATTTGAACAAAAACATCTTATTTTCATTTTATGTGGTTCAATATTAGTCCGTAATTCTTATCAACGAGAGTATGCTTGGTAAGGTCTACTTCCTTAAGTCTTAACCGAAAACATTGATGAAATTTTTGCTCACACCATTTATACTTGAGTGCAAAAAAAGTTTAAATACTCCATAATTGTTTCATTTGTTTTTTCAGATTTATGCATTATGGAAATTCTAATACATACCTAGAGTTCCTGTCCTTGATAGTTTGAACTCAATATTAATTGGAACTAGGGCTTGGTGAATCATTGCTCAATTGCATTACACCATTTCTCTTCCTAATTGATGCTGAAGTCACTTAATAGTTAGCATAACATCACTCGTGTTTTGGTTTTGTGTTCATTACTTATATTAAATACTTTTACTTTAGTTCTCATTATCCCATTTCAAGGTTTCTGTTTACTATTTTTTGAGGTTGTGTTCATTACTTATTTTAATTTTCTTCTGAATACCCCATCTCAAGGTTTATGTTTATTCTTTTGTTTTAGTATTTTTGGCTTGATTTTGGTTCTCATTAAATTGCTTGTGTTTGATTATTTATGCTCATTTATTTTGTTTAATTCTCGTTACCCCAGTTCAATGTTTCTGTTTATTGATTTACAGACTATGGAGTGAGTGATTCCTTCACTACTCCCCTGCCCTCTTCAACACTACATGTACATTTTATACATTATAATTTACCCACCAATCCTAATTGGGAATACAAGTTAATAGTTATCATGTGTCTTACATATAGATGTACAAAAGTCTTGTCTAAAAGTCCTTGGTTTATCAGGACATATGATGCAAAAAAGTTAAGAAATAGCCAATCATCTTCACAATTCACTCCTTATAATTGCAGCAATTTTATATTATGGAGTATTACTTTTTGTTTTGCAAAGGTGATTATGTCATGCTTATGCTGAAGTTTGCTAAAGTTTTGCAGATATTGATGGATATCAAAAAGTTTTGTCCAGAAACGAACCCACAATAACGTGTGCTCGTGACTTGTAACGCTCTTGACAATTAAAAGCTAAGGCTGTTTAGCTGCACAGGATGAAACACAACAATCAAAATGACATTTAGCCTAATCCATGTATTAGTATTCTGATATTCCCATTTTTTTATGTAATCACAAATCACAGTCAAGTTGTAAAAGGAAAATCCATTTGTTGGAGTGTTTTTTCTTTATGTAATACGGAGTAAGATTTTGACCTTGTTTGTTAAAATATTGGTCATGTATATTGGTTCACACCGTTTTATTTGCCCTTTATTTTAATTTATTGTATCTTAACTTCTTAAGGGGATATGTCCTCATTTTAGGGGTTACCAATAGACTTTTGCTTTGTAATCCCATCTCTTAAGTGTTTGGTTTTAATATCCCATTACGTGATAATCATGTTTGAACAATGTTTAGTCTCCATATTATTTAATCCCATCTCTTAAGTGTTTGGTTTTAATACCCCATTCACAAAGTGCTCAAAGACATGGATAATATGTGTTTGTGCCAAGACGAATTGGCTATTATGTTTAATTGAATTGTCTGTTAACAAGAAATGAAATGCCTGATCACAGACAATAACCACTTAAATGGCTACTGGGTTAAGTGGAATGGTCTGTGAATCAGAAATGAAATGTCCAGCCACAGACAATTGTCAATAAAATAGGTTAATGTCCCAAGTGTAATTATCTATGAACTAGGGCAAGAAGTGGCATCTCAAGAATGGTTGTATAGTGAGTAGTCTTGAAAATTGACATGACATTCATCAGCTTTAAATGTTTTTTCAAGACGATGTTTATGCATGACTATATCCCAAAAAACTTCCAACTTTGAGAATATTTCTAAAAAAGAAAGTGAAAACAAATTATTTGGAATATTTCAAAATGGTAAGTGAGAAGAGTTTTATGGAACATGAGTATTACGTAGAAATCAATTTTGTTAACCCTTTAAAAGAGGGTGAACATCACCCCCACCCTATTCTATACACAATTAGGGCCCGTTTGATAACACAAAAATCGGCTGATTTGGCTAATTCTGCTGAAATTTATGAAGTTCTAGCTGAAGTGGTTGCATTGGCTGATTCTGTTGATTTCAGAAAAAATTATTTTTAAAATATACTTTATTAATAACATAAAGAAAAAAATTATCTTGGGTATGTAAAAATAGATCAAACGATCAACGATCAACTACAGTAACTTGAGTCAATACAGCCAGAAAAGTATAGTAACTTCAATCTTACCTTTTCTGTTTATTACACAATTGAGCGCATGAAAGCAAAAATTACGTGTTTGGTGAAAAAGTTGACTGATAAGCTGAAAAACAGTGTTGCCAAACGGCCTCTTGATATGTTTTTGAATTCTTAACAATTTTTTTTAAATTATTTTTTATAAAAATTTGAACCACAAATATAAAAGATTTAACAATTTTAAAAATAATTAATTGATATGCCAAATCGCAACCAAATGACAACCAAATGCTAGGGGGGTGAAATAATAGGATACTTATTAATATGGGTGCCTTTAAGAGACTAACAAAATTAACAATATACTATGGATGAAAAATGATCTTTGTACTCACTCTTATACTCACTTTTGTACTCACCTATGTTTATGAAGTTTCTTTTTTGTCTGTGAATCCTGGCTCACAGACAATATTTTGCAAAAACAAAATATTGTCTGTGATCCAGGTTCACAGACAAAAAAATCTTCACAAACATGGTAGGTATAAGGTGAGTATAAAGTGGGTACATCATGCATTGAAATACAACATTCAAAGTTCAACCGTTTTTTTTTTTAAATTTAGAATATAGAGAACGGTGAATAAAGTGAAAAGATAAAATGTAGTGACTTGACTTTATGTGTTTTTTACAGAAAAAATGCTTCTATGTTGAAAATAAACCAAATAATTAAATTTGATTAGAAAATTTTCATGCTGATTTGGGAATGATGCATGTAATATCGTTTAAATAAAAAAGTGTTGGTTAGAGAAATGAGAATCGACCAAGATA